TTGAAAGAGAGGAAATGAAATGAAGGTCCTTATGAGGTCACTTGCAGTCCTGAAACTCTAGGTAAAATTCTCACTTCCCATGGAAATAAATAACTGTATAAAACCTCTAAGAGATTCACTCTGGAAGATTCAGGAGAAAACACTCATTAAGCAGGCAATTTAAATCAGAAAGTATTTATCGAGTGCCTGATATTACCTAGCCCCGGGGAGATGTACGCCCGCAGCAGAGCACAGGTCTGAGCAGCAGTGTTGGACAATGGACAGAGAACACGATTATTCACTTCAGTTAATTTAAAAAAAAAAATCTTTGAACTCCAATCAGCTTTCTGGAACTGTCTATTTCCTGAACTTGGTGAGCTCAAAAAATCCCATAAGAGCTGGCTGTCACATGAGATTTCTGGCATTACTCATGGTATCCGTGGATCTTTTTGTAAACAGAAAAGGCTTCTGACAGTGTTTCCATACTTCATCTCTTTTTCTAACCCAAACTTGGATGGACGGAGCCTCTTAAACTATCATCAAAACATGGATTATAAAATGCTAGCCAACTTTGAGTTATTTTGCTATATTCCCATGCTGCAGAAAAAGAATTCAATTAGCTCAACTCTAGAGATGCATTTATACTTAAGTTTTAATGAACATGAGGATTTTTGTTAATGGCTTGTATGAAATCCAGTGACTCACAGAATGGATCTTTAGCATCAGCAGGCAGAAGAGACTGAGGAAGAAGAGAGAAAAAGCACACAGAGAAGAACGTTCTTCACACATATTTTCAAATCTCAACATGTCCCAGCCAAGGAAAGCTGAGGAGGAAGGACAAAGTTCAATGGGAAGACAGTGAACCCAAATGGATGTCAAGGACCTAAATAGGGGCAAGAGGTGAATTCATCACAAATCTTTATGAAATTCTAATTTTAAATGATACATCTTTTAGCTTTTTCTTAATTGCATAAAATCATTGAAGCTCACAATTAATGGCTAAGTTAAAAATATAAATGACCATATATGAGGATTATTTTTAAAAACTATGAACAGGGTCACTTTTTTTTTTTTTTAAATGAAAGAGTGGGAAAAAGTTTCAAAATTACATTTTAGCTTTCTCCTGACCTTACAGCGGTCAGCCTTAATTTTTTAAGTTGCATATTCTGAATTAGCTAGCTCTAGCTTTGGAAAGAGGAGTCAGTCTTTTATACACCATCCATCCACCCTCATCACGATGGATTTGGATTACTTCTTACTGTTTTTCTCACCTCTCTCATGACTACCTTTTTAGACATACATACTCCTCTGAGGTCAAACCTAATTTTCTACAACAATTATGTCAATAAACTTTCCCATTCACTATGGTACAAGAAAAAAAATGTGCTGATAGTCCTACCATGTCTAAAGACTGTCCATGTTCACCTGCATGTATTGTTCTATTTTTAAGTTTTACATTTGCATGGTACATGGTATTAGTTATATGTGTAATTATACTGTCTACATAATCAAGAATGCACCAACAGGCGCCTGGGTGGCTCAGTCGGTTAAGCAACTGCCTTCGGCTCAGGTCACGATCCTGGAGTCCCTGGATCGAGTCCCGCATCGGGCTCCCTGCTCGGTGGGGAGTCTGCTTCTCCCTCTGACCCTCCCGACCCTCCCCCCTCTCATGCTCTCTATCTCTCAGTCTCTCTCTCAAATAAATAAACAAAATCTTAAAAAAAAAAAAAAAAAAAGAATGCACCAACAAATAGTACAGTTTTGCAGATTAGCCACAGAATTATGATGATTAGTTAAACATTTTTGTACCATTTGTCTCAGACATGGGCATCATGATCCTTCCCTTCCTCCCTCCCTCTTTCTTTTCCTCTCTTTCTCCCTGACACCAACCTGGCTAAGTCTGAGTACCCCGAATATTAAGAACTGCACTTAACACACTTCGGTTTTTAAAGGAGAGAGATTGTTGGTTTTGTTTTTATATCCAATATAAGAGAAGGCCGTGAAGTTTCAGACTGAATGACCACGGCATGAAAATAGGGTTGTTTTCTTGCAAAAGTAATGAATTGATAGCATAGTTCTGATCAGTAGGATTTAATTAATAGCTTATTAAATAAATCTGTTTGAAAAGTGTTTCTCAATATGTATTTATTGGGTTTCTATTATGTGCCAGGTATGGCACTGGGCGGTGGAGATATGGCAATAAACAACACAGACACGAACCTTGCCCTCCTGGAGTGTGGAGTCTAACAAAAATTATAATCATTCATTCTCACATTTGGTCCACAAAGTCCAAACCTACCATCACTATCAAAAAGTATGCATTTAATTATAACGAAGTACTCATGGCTAAATTATCCTCAAGGAGGGCTCTCTTAGGGAGGCACCTATGAATACTGACGGAGTAAAACTATTATAATGAAGGTAGCAAGATTGAATATGCCAAGACTTATAACATAGAAATGAGCTCCAAACTGAAACTTGGCATATATGAAGGAAGTTTGTATAGTTATTTACATATGCATGATTTAAATGTCTTGGGACTACCAGCATATTTGGTCCAAGGAATCTGGTTTCATCCAAATTCAATCCTTATGAAAGATTTTTTTAACTAAATGAGTTAATACTTTGTATATGTGTATACATGTGTCGACACACATAAATGTGTGTGCATAATCACGTGTGTACATGTACCCCTTCCACAAACTTCCTAGTTTTCAATGGATAAAATGAGATGACAAGGGAAATATCACGAATCACAAATTTTCTTTAAGCCAATGTCAATGAGCATGTAGAATCAATTACTTAGGAGAGCGGCTGAAATAGTAAGTTCAGGGCGCCTGGGTGGCTCAGTTGGTTAGGCGACTGCCTTCGGCTCAGGTCATGATCCTGGAGTCCCGGGATCGAGTCCCGCATCGGGCTCCCTGCTCGGCAGGGAGTCTGCTTCTCCCTCTGACCCTCCTCCCTCTCATGCTCTCTGTCTCTCATTCTCTCTCTCGCAAATAAATAAAATCTTAAAAAAAAAAAATGAAATAGTAAGTTCAGAGGAGTTACAGGGGCATACAGATGTCCTTCTGGAGAAAGGCACTGTGGTCTAAAAAAGTTTAGAAGAAAAATTAGACTCAACCCCAGAAGCATTAGCCAGCTTGACTCTTTTCTGGCTTCAGTAAAAGAAAATGCGTATGTGGGTGAGTGTATGTATGTGTGTGTGTGCATGCGCATGTGTGTGTGTGTGTGTGTGTATGTTTATGTTTTGTGTCTTATGTAAATGAACGACGGTTCGGCAGGAAGACCACTGCCTCCCTCTTAGCTTACCCCAGTGTGCCTCATTAGGTACAGAGTGTCGCAGAAGTGCCTAGTTTAAGAATGTATGAGCTTCGCAAATGCCAACATTATTAAAAATATGCTTGGGAATGCCCTTGTTTCTGAGAACTGAAATTGCCTCCTTGACAGGACTGGAAAATGGTTTTTCTGCAAATGATATTCCCCTAGAGTATCTCTCCATGGGGACCCTTCTTTAGTAACTCCCTTTGGCAATAACAGGATCCATGAGGTTGAATCTTCCTAGGGCAATGCTGTCTTTAGTGCATCTCCCCCCCACCGCCCAAAAAAAACATAAATATTTTCAGCCTTAGCGTTCTTGAATCTGACAAAATACAGGAGATTCCTGTGAGGCTCCACATGGCAACACTCTCCTAGGGTGCTGAGGTGCTTAAGAAAGTTTGAGGGTTTTCACAGAACAGCCTGATGATTGGCTAAAGAGTAAACCCAAGTCCATCATGTTTTCTCTGCTGATGTTCCATTTAATATATAGGAACTTCTTTCTCTCTGGCACAAGAAGCTCATGCAGAGGGAGGAAAATGCACTTGCAAGAATTGTGCCTCTTGTAGAGAAGAAGATATGGGGCAATAGTGAGCAGGCAAGTAGCATGTGAAAGATTGTGGGCATTAAAGCCAACCAGATTGGGTTCAAACTCTGATTTATTTACTTATTTCTTGTGGTAGCTACTGATAATAGCAACAACTCTTTCTAGCTTTCTGCCTTTCAGGCATATAGTAGGGATGCATTTCCCCATCAGCTTTGGAGTTAGGTGGGGCCATGTGATTAGTTCTGGTCAATGATTTGGAGAGGAAGTTATGTGTTTCCCTTCCAGGTAGAAGGTTTAATGTCAAGAGGGTGACCCTCCAGAACTCTCTTTTCCCTTTGCCACATTGAGGGAATATTTAAGAGGGTGGCTGGCTCATTAGTCTGAGTCCTGGAGTAAGAACAATACCAAGCAGAGCCCATAGCCAACCTGTGATGGATGTGTAGTATGTGTGAGCAATAAATCTTTGTAACTTTAAACCTTGGAGATTTGGGGGATGTTTGGAATCTCAGCAACCCCTAGCCTAACCTGAGAAACTGGATCTTTGAGGCTAGTCACTTAACCTCTCTGTGTTTCAGGCTCGTATCAATGAAATGGGGAAAATAATCCAGGATCATTGTGAGAGCATTAAATAAGATCATGTGTATAGGGCACTAACACAGTCAAAGAGTAAGATTTGGACAATTTAGTTTTTTTCTCCCTCCATCCTACTCCTATCTCATACCACCCCCCCCACACACACTTCCCTTTTCTAGATTTCTTCTCTCTACCAATTCCATCTTCCCTTCCTAGTGCCCTTCCATTTAAACAAAATGTTAAAATTGGCATTTAATTCAGTATTATTCTCCTACCCCCTGAGAATATCTGCATCCAGTAGAGTGCATTCTTTTTATCTCAACGAAATGAATCTTAAGGATGGGATTTAAGGCAGTATGGACATTTAGTGATGGAAACAGTTGGGTTGGGGAATTCCTAAGACTCCAAAAATGATGTCCCTTGGACAACCACAAATCTACCTCTTTCTAAAGTTAGACATGGTAGTGAGACAAGGACAAGAAAAAAGGGGGTTAATGGGTTTATCTGAGAAAGTACTATGGTTAAGCTTTTCCCACCCAGGGTTTTCTGGACTATTCTGAACAGGTACCAGGGCTTCTTTTTTTTAAATATGGAACGCTTCATGAATTTGCATGTCATCCTTGCGCAGGGGCCATGCTAATTTTCTCTCTGTCATTCCAATTTTAGTATATGTGCTGCCAACAAGAGCACCAGGGATTTTTTGGAAATAAACAAAATACTATCTAGGTACTCTTCTAGCTCCACCTTCCTGTTTTAGGAATAAATTGTAAAAACTAGAATAATCATAAGGACAAAATACGTGGATTCAATAGTATATCTTACACAGTGGGTTATGTTATGATATAACTTATGCTGTAAGTCATGTGATTTAGTGTCATAATTATGATGTAGTTAGGATAACCAATGCCTTCCCAATACAGGCAGTTACAGTTATGACCACCAGTACCCTCCTGATGTAATTACATGGAACATTAAACCTAACATTTATCCCTTTTATATCAAGACCCTTTTGTCAATGATAATACTTGGTTTTCATCTTTAAACTTTGGTAGTCCTTTTTTTTCCAACAAAATAACTCCTAGTTCATACCATGTAAAGTGTAATCACACATCCTATGTTTTTTTTTCTAACTACAAAGCACATTAGCCCAAATATGAATATAACCACTAAAGATAAGTAATTTAAAAATAGGCAATGCTAAAAAGTAGGTGAGGGACATTTCCATGGACTCACTGACCTAAAACATACCACATAGTATGGAGCAGATCTGGAGCCAAAGGTGGTAGTGAACCTAACAAACACCCTTTCTTATAAGTCGTTTAAGTGTTCCTCCAATTTATGTTATAAAAACCAGAAAGAAATCTCTAAATATGTGGGGTGAAAGCCAAATCTCTCAGCTTAACACAGGAGGGAAATACTGCACATTCACATCTAATTAACTAAAAGTCGTTTTTCAAAAGTTAAAGGCTGAAATTTTTGCAATTTAATCCGAAATTTTATTAGCAAACTCAAATGATTATCCTGATTGCAATTAATACAAGCTCCCAAACAGGTCAACTCATTTAAGTGCTATCTGTAATCATTTGGATTTTAACATGATGGTTATTACTTGTTACCCTGAAACCAAGCCGCGCAATGAGATATTGATTACTTTTAACCTTTAGATCCAAGGATTCAAGAAAGGTCAGAGGAGGGGAACACTATACCTTTCTTGGCTGGCAAACGTATTGCCTTCAGGAGAATTCAAATGATTCCCATTGGCCAAGTAGATCCAAGATTAGTTTATTCGCTGGGCTGACAAGAAATGATGATGCTTTTAAAAATAACACCCAGCACGTATTTAGTGAAGTGTTACATTTATATAACCAGTGGCCTCAAGATGTGCTTCACGTCGCAGCAACTCTCGGGCTGTTAACCCTTGGACAAGTTTTGTTCATGGAAACATCTTTGCTGGGAGGAGATACTAAACGCAGTGGCTTTAATTGGAATAAACTCATCTCATTAAATTCCCTTGTGGGTTCCAAAAGGCTGAACACAATCCCTGGCCACTGCTGGCCACTAGCATTTCTTTGGGTTTTCTTTTTCCGTGACAACATTTAGAAATATTTTTCACATTTGTGCCACCGAAAAGCAAGGAGTTCTTGGTGGGGTCCAGCAGAATGACGGGCAAGGGAAACGTAACTGTTATGTGTTAGATTAATTTGCAGAACACTTGGCATTATTATTGCCAAGTCGTCAGATTGTTCCAAGTTGTTCCGGAAGGTTGTTATTAATAGTATGTTTTCTGAGCAAAGTTCTGTCTACTTTTGGAACTGCATTTCTGTTGCCAAGGAAACTCCTTTAAGCACCGTTTTCCAGGAGCACACTGCTGCTTTTGTTTGCCACTGTCCTATTCATATCATCTACGTAAGCGTTTTACATGCTCCAGCCCTCAGTCCCAAATGTTGAAGCGTTAGCCCATTTAAGTTGCTTTTTCAAACACAGCGTATGCCTGCTATGATTTTCCTCTTTCTCTCCCCCCTTTTCGCTCTCCCTCTCCATCCAAAGCCCCTCTCCCCCCGCCTTCTCCCCACTCTCCCTCCAACACGCCCAACTCTTACTATTCAAGGTTTATTTCTTTTAAAACAGTTGCAATAGGGGAGATAGTTTTCACGAGTTTTTGATAAATTAACTTCAATTTGAATAATAATTCCATAGGTTGTAGCATTAGTCCTTCAAGTGTTAATTATCTTTTCACTTTAAAATTAATGTAGTCATTTCCTCCTGACTCCTCTACCCCACTTATTGAAGTGCTGAGGAAAACATGTCATTGAGTCCTGAGCCAGCCCTGTTGTTGTGATTAAGCGTGGTCACATGGCCCATCTCTGCCAAAAGGAGGGCCCTGAGAAAAGGTGACAAAGACAGTGATTTCCTGTCAGCAAAGAGTACGACAGGGCTGTCTAGAAGTGATGCAAATGAGGGGAACTTTCCCCACGGCTTGTTTGATCCACTCTCGGCCAGAGCAGGCCAGGCCAGGGAGAGAGGGAGCCGCACAATACCGCAGAGGCGGCCCAGAGAGCCAACGCACCTTCCGGACAGTAGCTCACCCGCCAGAGACAAAAGCTGCTGGAGGGCCTTCCCTTCCTTGCCCCTCTGCACACAGAGCCAACTATTTCTTGGCTTACTATTCTCTTAACATCCTTCTCCCTCTCTTTTTTTTTTCCTTCTTAAAAAAGAGATTCAAATAGGCATTATAAGCTCCAGCAAAAGCGGCACTTCCTATACTGTTCAGAAACCACATCCATCTACTTTTTCTTCTAAGCATTTTCAGGGTGAGTTTTGTCCTCTCTCAAGAAAGAAAGGAAAAATATATGCAGTTGTCTTCATAAGCAAACATGGATTCATCAAAGCTCACATTAAGATGACAGTTAATCTAGGACTTTGTAGCTTTAATAAAAACGGAACAACAAATTCATTTCTACAGAGCAGTGGAGGCAGCCTAGATTTTCCTATTCTGATCACTTTTAAAAGGATTAGATAATGTTATTTGAAATATTATAATGATTTTAAGCATATTCTTCTTATCTTAATGGAGTTTTAATCTAACATACAATTAAGCTCTACAATTAATCTACTGAGAAAGAGGTAAAAAATTATCATTAGGTTCTTATGCCTGATATATCTGGTACATTTTTACCTTGACTGCTTCAATAACTAGTAATTTGCTTCATTTTGGTACTGAAATTCCAACCTAAGGCCTAATTAACAGAATTTAATTTTTTAAAAAGATTTATTTATTTAAGAGAGACAGACAAACAGAGAGAACACAGGGGGGCGGGGAGGAGTGGAGGGAGAGGGAGAGAAATCCTCAAGCAGACTCTCCACTGAGGGTGGAGCCAGACATGGGGCTCGATCCCAGGACCCTGAGATCATGGCCTGAGCTGAAATCAAAAGTTAGATGCTTAACTGACCGAGCCACCCTGGCGCCCCCAGAATTTAATTTTTTGACACATACTTCTATTCTGTACACCAACATGTAAATTTTCTTAAAAAAAATTTTAAAAAAGGTAATGGATTTTCTTCTATTTTAAGCCCAGCTACTACAACCTGGATTATGAACCAGCCTAGTATTACATTTTTAGGAGCTTACGTTTAGTCATAAAGGTATCAGGCCACATCTGTAATTATTTAGATCAATCTGGTCCAGAACAAAATGAAAGAGAACTATTGTAGAGGGTTGAAATTTGTGAATTTATAAAATATAGGGATAGTGGGATTAATCTGTTTTCTGTGATCGGTTCATAGCCATGACAACATCATTTTGGCATCAATAGTTATAAAATAACAACTATGCTCCATTTTTCTTCTTTTACACTACGTTTCTTATTCCCCAGAATTTCTAATCCTATTCCATACTCGTTTCTTTTAAAAAGTCATAATGCTTATTTTTTAATACATACCCAAATTCTCTAAAAGTGACATTTTCTCCTTTAAAATGTATCCCTTTCTCTTACCTGTTTTTTTTTCTAAAACAATTCTTTCAGTGTTTAGTTCTCTTTTGATTTGTTTGTATTTGTTTTTTTAGCATTTTCTTATCTATTCATTCATCTACCCATGATTTTAATTTACTCTTTTTGTTTTTAATTCTTTTAGGTTACTCATTTTTGTTTGGTTAGCTGTATATTAACTAATTTCAACTGTTTTTCTTTCTCTTCAAGGCTTATATTTCTCCCTCACTTTCCTAATATCCTCTTCTTTTCAAATACATAATATTGATGTCTTCTCTTATTAATCCCACCTGGCCAAACTGTCATTGAAAGGAACCACCTCTGGGTGGGTGAGAGCTGTGCTCAAAGTCTGTAAACATTACCTGGCAACAGAGTTAGAGGGAAATAATTAATTCACTTGTTAAAAGTATTATGTTTAGAAACTTACTTGTAAGAAATATTGTGGTTATTTGTTTCAGAGGTACAGGTCTGTGATTCAACAGTCTTACACAATTCACAGCGCTCACCATAGCACATACCCTCCCCAATGTCCATCACCAGCCACCATATCCCTCCCACCCCCCACCACTCCAGCAACCCTCAGTCTGTTTCCTGAGATTAAGGATTCCTCATATCAGTGAGATCATATGATACAATCACAGACCTGTACCTCTGAAACAAATAATACATTATATGTTTAAAAAAAAAAAAGAAGAAGAAGATAGCAGGAAGGGAAAAATGAAGGGGGGGAAATCGGAGGGGGAGATGAACCATGAGAGACTATGGACTCTGAGAAACAAACTGAGGGTTCTAGAGGGGAGGGGGGTGGGAGGATGGGTTAGCCTGGTGATGGGTATTAAAGAGGGCACATACTGAATGGAGCACTGGGTGTTATATGCAAACAATGAATCATGGAACACTACATCACAAACTAATGATGTATGGTGATTAACATAACATAATAAAAAAACTAAAAAAAAAAGAAATATTGTGGTTAGACATTTCTCTACCATGCCATTCTAATTCCTTACATTAAAAAAAAAAACCTAACAGAAAGTGTTTTCATATCTAAGTATCAAAATAAACTTAATTTCTTCAAAGGAAGTGTAATTTTTTTTCTCATGGGAAATGTAAATTTTGCAACTGAGCACATTTCCTTCTTTGCTTTTACTACCAGGAAACCCAAGGTGTAATTTTAGCATCTTTAGTAAGTGCATAGGTCCA